TTTTAATTATGCAAATTTAATTTTTTTTAGAAGCCCTTACACACGTTTTATTATGATATACCTCTTTTGTGGTATCACTTTAGCTCAATAATTAGTTCCCAAACTCTATATACATAGTTTTGGGTGAATACTGTTTGATGACTTTGCTTAGTTTGGGATGAAAATGATTTGACAACTTTGCTTAGTTTTGGGTGAATTTGATTTGTAGGGCTGCAACTAAGGATGATTTTCATAATCGATTAGTTGGCCGATTATTTTTTCGATTAAATCAGATAAAAATAAATCCCATCCTTAATTTAAAATAAAATACACAAATGGAGTGTTACAAACATAAAGTTTACTTCAGAATAGAACTGCATGCACAATTTTTTGCAATGGCACTGCACTGGAACGCAAAGCATTGTGGTAGCGTGCGTTCCAGTGCCGGCGATCCCACTGTGGGTGGGAGGCACGTTTGGGGTACAATTGAAATGAATGGCACTGCAACCCACCTACCAAAGCAGAATTTGTCAGTCTAACACCGAAAATTAAAACCGAAAAAATAAATGAATTGGAAGCACATGGCGCGTGAATCTTGCCACAGCTGCCCGTGGCAAGATTGCGCAGATGGCAGCTGAATGAAATACAGCAGGTAGTGGGCTGGTGTATTTGCCAGCCTGATATTGGCCATTTCAAATTGCAATAGCCAATAGCAGGCTGGCTATTGCACCTGCCCACCGTTTGCTGTGCCCCTCCTCCCAACATGAAGGAGGGAGCCAGGGGATCCAACCAACTAATCGATAATGAGAATAGTTGATAACTATTCTCATCAATTATTATCGATGAATCGATTAGTTGGTTCCCGCACTATTGATTTGGCTTTTTTGCTTAGTATTGGGTGAATACAATTTGATGACGACTTAGTTTTGGGTGAGGTTTGGCCAGTAGGCTGAAAGAAAAAAGTATAGCAGATTCCTCCATCATTGCTACAAGCGTGGTGATTGAGGAATCCCCGCTGTCTTTTGCACAACACCTGAACAGAGCAGGCAGCTCATTGTCCAATTTGTTCCCAAGTTTTAAAGGAACCTTAAAGGGATGGACACCAACCAACTGGCTGTAATCATGACCGCTTTTACATGCGGAGCTTAGTATAATTTCTGCTCTGAATGTAAGCACCCGAGGTGCTTTCTGTCTTAGAGCCAGCGAGAGGGGAGAAGATGGTTTTGAAAATTTTGGCGAATACAAATGTCACTATTATAAGCAAGTTCATTTTTAACAACACATTTTGGGAGTTTTTAAGCAACCCTCTCGGACTTTTTTCATTCCCTTACCTTCACAATAGATTTTCTTTGTGAGACCCAGAATCCTTTCCCCACGAACAATCCCAGCAGCCGCTTTCCAACACTATAACAAATCAAATTGCCGTTCCGTGTCTTGATCTTTAACCTAGGCATTCCACAGTAAGCCATCAGTGGCTGGACTTGTAATATGCTGTCACAATGAAGAATGTGGTCCAGGTCTATTGATACGGAGCTATTTAGCCAGAGTAATGGCACAGTTGCATGCCTGCAGGTCGTCATGTGGCCTACAATCACAGGCCCCCTTGTTGTGAAGACAGCACACAGTGCCATTTTGCTGAATGGGGGCCTGGTGCCTGGACGTGATTGTTCGGCATGCTGAGCAGTGTGTTTATTTTGCCTGTAGTCTGTTCGCCTTATGCACCGAAAAAAGTTAATTTTAGTTGACTGTAAAGAATGGCTTTCTCATAGCGCAGGAAGTCTCCTGTGACAAAGGCCTGGCTTTAGTCTGACGGGGCCTGCAGATTAACACAAAAAGCACTGCAAGGCTGCTGCTGCTCGTAGACAAGATGGTGATTCAATAAAAAAACAATACTTCACTATAAATTCTGCTGAAATGGGGTGAAACTTCTGTTTTTAGGTTCCCATGCTTTGTAAAACCCAGGGGCCTTCTACATGAGGACATGCAGAAAAATATCTAACGGGAATCTACAGTTTCTGCTGTGACTTTGATCAGCTTAAAACTGAGCTCTAGGCAGGTATAAGAGACCAATTATTGCAGCTCGGTATTTATTATATCGCTAAAATCATTTTTTAAATGCAACTACTGTAAGTACCGGAATTTGTCTTGGTATAAGTCTCCTGCAATTCGCTATTCCAGGGATAGACCAACTCCGGCCCTCCTGCTGTGGTGCAAAAACAAATCCCATTAGGCATTGCAGGTCTCTCATAGCCATTCCCAGGGCCAGATGTATGATAGGATTTGCAGCTTCACAGCTGGAGGACCAGAGTTTGCCTACCGCTGGTCTACAGTATAACAGGACGTGCGTGCTGCATGCAAATGTGCAGACAAGGACCACGCTGATGGGAAAGAGCAGAGAGATGACTTTATCAGTCTGCTGCTGCTCTTTTACCATCCAGTCAACAAGCTGGGGGTGATGAGAGGGAACCACTGTATTCCTTACTGTAAGTGGTGTTAATTTTGGCGACTAGGGCTGAGCACTGCATTATTGGAAGACATCGCAGTGGTGTCCAGGGAGAAAGGAGCGGTAAGGGAGTGGTGTAGAGGCGATCTATAGTGGTGAGGGGGTGGATATTTACACAATGTAATCTTGCCCCAAATGGACATAGTTACAGGTTCTCTTTAAAAAACAATAACTCCTGCTCACTCCGGCATCTCCTGTACTTAGTAGGGATTTAGTGTGGAGTGGGAGCCAGCAAGTGATTTTCTTCCTTCACAATTTACATAATCCCCTCTCTGGCAGGAAATGAAATGCTCATAAGACATAATTTGGGAATGAACTAATCTTGTATTTCAAGGTAAACACTGTAAATTAATTAAGGCTGCACAGTTCCACAAGGAAACGCCAGTCATGGCTTCCCAGACCACCATTATCTGCCTCTGTTCAAAGCTGTCGGAACCTACAGTGTCTGTACTGGAAATGTAACCAGAAATGTCGGCATTGGGAAACTACTAAATACACAGCTAGAATACCTATGTCATCTCTGCACAGCCCAGGGACACCCATGATTTCCAAATGAGTTTGACAACTTCCTGTGTCACCTCTCTCCCAGCATGTGTTATCTCCCCCCCACCCCCACCTTTCTGCTCCGGGGAACCGGTGAATCAGAATCAAAGCCTGTATTCAATGTGCAGGAAGGTGACCCAGGACCAGGAAAGAGGGGTGTCACCTACCTGGCTGTGCAGTGTGGCAGAATCACAATTACAAATCATTTGGCAGGTAAAACAGCAGAGACGCACATTTTTTAATGATGTGTTTAGCTGCTTGCTTATACACGTGTAGTTCTAGCTTCCTAAGAATTCTTCTCTTTTGACCGCGGGCAGTAAACCGCCCATAATCCAGGGACAGTAGGTACAATCATTTCAAACATGCATTCGTTCGTCAATTGCTGATCATCTTATTTCCTGTTTTGTGAGGGAGGAGAGAGCATGCGAAGGTAGAAAGCACAAGTGCATGAGTCACAACCTTAACCAGCCAGGAGTATGGCGCGTAGAGATGAGTGTTGAGTTTAACCCTGCAGACACCTTCCTCCAATCTTGGGCTTGGAGTTTCCCTTTAATGCCATAGGGAACACAGCTATTAAAGTGAACACATACCTGAAGCCTTTCTGTCGTGTTTGCTTTGTGCAGTCTGTGTCCAGCTGGGAAGATTTCCCTTTACTTTTGGTTATTAAGATACAACAGGAAATCCCCTCTTAAAAGATTTACCTTCACTTCCTGTTCCTGTGACAAATATAACATATTGGACTTCTCGTCATTTTCTGTCCCAGTTACAATGGTCACTAATGCTTGGGTTAGAATTTCTTACAAGAAAATCCGATCGGAACATTGGCTAATGCCATCAGAGACTTGATGATTGTTGTACAAAATTTTGTTTGATTTTTAATGTTCGATTTTGGAATGAATGCAGTTTCCTGAAAGTTTCCATCCTGCTCCTCCGAAAGTGATCGATATGACCCCATTAATTATTAGAAAAGCAAATGGACATTCCGAAAATGACCGCTGTGTATATTCCGCTTAAGACAGATAGGATAAATCTCCCCAGCCATATAAAATGATTACCGTATATACTCGAGTATAAGCCGAGATTTTCAGCCCATTTTTTTGGGTGAAAAGTGCCCCCCTCGGCTTATACTCAGAAATCTTGACTGAGTATGTAACATGCTGAAAAAATGTGTGTGTGTTTGTATATATACACAAAGTGGCCAGATTGTTATGACCACCCCATCAGTACTTCGTTGGGCCACGAGATGACTTTGTTGGGCCGCCTCGTGACTCCACGAGATGTTGAAAGGTGATGCGAGGAATCTGACACTGCACTGTTGCCCTTCTGTTGTCTTGTACCAGTCTTGCCACTCTCCGTTCTGCCCTAACATTGACTAGTCGCTGACGGCCACAATTCGCACGTTCAGACCCAGATTTTCGGCTGACAGTCCAGTCTTTAAACACTTTAACAACAGCTGCTCTTGAACATTTAACCAATTCTGCTGTTTTGCTGATACTCGCTCCATGGCTCCGAGCGCCAACAATCATCCCACGTTCAAAGGCTGTGAAATCGCGTTGTTTCCCCGTATCTTCAGAAACAAATCACTTCTACTGTCGTGGTAAACAACCTGCTTCCCTATTTATAACGGTCTGGCCCTCTAGCAACTTCAGCGCAAAATTATAGCTAATTTGCCTACAAACGTCAGGTGTTCATAATAATCTGGCCACTCGGTGTATGTATATATATATATGTATGAGATGCACCGAGACGCCCGATCACTTGAATATAAAGTGGCCGGCCGTGTAATTACAACGGCCGGCCTGGAAGCTGCTCGTTGGGCTCCACCGTCCTCTCGTCACAGATGAGTGGACGAGTGGATTTTTCAAGCCCTGTATATATGTGTATATATATATCTATTGTTCATAGCATTTTATAATAAATTGACATCCAAAAGCCCTAAATCAATTTACTAATAAATTTGTTTTTTTTTTTCCAGACATCTAAAAGCCTTTGCTCCTTGGACTATGAAGATGACGAAGACCCCCACCTTAAAACCATTGTCTCCTCCCCCTGCGATTCCAATGACCTCATGAATTTCATCACTCCTGGGTCCAGTCCTGTGAAGGAGACCACGGATGAAGGGACCCATCCAAGGGATTTTAAGAGGGAAGCCACTGTGAGTGAAAGCGAGGAAGACCTAAGCGACTGTGAAAGCATCGAGGGCAACATGGTTCAGATGAAATGTGATGACCTGGACCTGGAGCAAATCGAGAATAACTAAGCCCAGAATTGCTTCCGGTCACGGGGGCTCCCCCTGCCGCCATCGCTTTCTTTTCAGCAGTCCCGTGGAATGGGTCAGAGCGTAGTCACCTGTTTTAGTTTAACAAAACGAATTCTGAAAAAGACTGAGCACGAAAATCACGGTTTCCGCCTGGCAGCAGTATTCGGCCTAGTATGTGCGGCTCGACGTATAAAGTCAAATAGATATATATGTACTCATTAGGTTTCCTATGGGAAAGTAACTTATCTACAAGTGCTTACTGAGAGTGCCTAAATATTTGTTACTCAGAATAACAGGGAAAAGGGGGGAGGGGAAGGGGTTTCGGGAAGGACTACTATTTTTTAAGCTAATTTCGTAATTACGTAACCTCACTTTTGGAGGGGTGTGCTAGATGAAAAAGCGGGTACAATTTGTTTACTTTTTGCGAACGTCTCACATACTGGGCTGCCGAAAAACAGCGAAAAGGAAATCGTCAGGAATTTCAAGGAAACCTAAAATACAAAAAAATAAATAAATTTAAAAAGCAAAAAAAAAAAACTTAACAGATATTTTTGCATTTCTATAGCTTTTACAGTTCTGGAAAAAAATACAAATAAATAAAAGCATCTCTATTTTGAAATGAATTTTTAGAAGGGCATTTTATAAACCTAAATGTTGTCTGCCATGATTTTGGTGCAGGTATAAGTTCTATTTTGTTGTTTTGGAAGAGCTTAAAGTTCTAAAAAAATATAAAAAAATCTATTTTGTTTTTTCTTCGTCTGAATGGATATGGAGAATGTTCGACAATAACGACCAGTCCAATAAAAACCAAAATAACCGCTCTGGGATTATTTTTTATATTGAGTGGTTACAAAACTACATGTACAAACATGTTTTTGTTTCGATTTCTTGATCAAAATGTACAAGTGACCTGAAGGGTTAAGGAGACAGGAAGGCCTATACATTTGCTACTTGAATTGTATTTGTTTTCTATCTTGAACAAAAGTGACCGTAATTTACGTTATGTGCATTTCCCAAAAAAGTGCAAGTAGTTACATGCCTTGTAGGTCATTATTACCTTCATTTTTATTTTTTTCTATCGTTCAAAAGAATGTATCAGAGCACTTGAACTTTAGACTTGGACTTTTGTAATGATCAATTCCACAGGAGGAGAAGATACACTCAGCAATAGAAGGCGATTTTGTCCTTAAATAAAAAAAAATCAATTTGGTTTGCAAATTTTTGTCTTGTTTTTATTTTAAAGAAATTTACATTTGCATGTAGAGTAAACCAGTCTACGCTTGATTTTAGAGATGAACTCTGGGGGGGGAACGACACAAAAAAATAGCATAGAACCATAAAAAAAAAACAAGTACAACATAAGAACGTAAATAAAAGTACAACATAAGAACGTAAATAAAAGTACAACATAAGAACGTAAATAAAAGTACAGCATAGGAACGTAAATAAAAGTACAACATAGGAACGTAAATAAAAGTACAACATAGTCAATAAAAGTACAACATAGGAACGTAACTAAAAGTACAACATAAGAACGTAAATAAAAGTACAACATAAGAACGTAAATAAAAGTACAACATAGGAACGTAAATAAAAGTACAACATAAGAACGTCAATAAAAGTACAACATAGGAACGTAAATAAAAGTGCAACATAAGAACGTCAATAAAAGTACAACATAAGAACGTCAATAAAAGTACAACATAAGAACGTAAATAAAAGTACAACATAGGAACGTAAATAAAAGTACAACATAAGAACGTCAATAAAAGTACAAGATAGGAACGTAAATAAAAGTACAACATAGGAACGTAAATAAAAGTACAACATAGGAACGTAACTAAAAAAAAGAAGTACAACATAAAAACCTTATACAGCTAAGAAAGCAGTTTAAATACATATGTCATCTGGTTTGCATGCCAAAAGATTAGTCTTGTGACTTATATACCCCAGCCAGCTTTGGTGACCTCGTTCCACTGCTGTTGGCTAACACATCTTGGTCACCAACATGACTGATAATGAGTTTTACAGGATTCTAATATATTTAAAGACTAGCTGGGTGAATGATATTTCAATGAATAGACTATTGGTTTGACCATTTATTTATATCTACCTGGGATTCAGCATCAAGCTTGGGTTGCCTTTTGATGTGGACCGAAGACAGATATTCTTTTATACAAATGCATGGGTGGTGAGCACCATTATTAATACGGAAAAGCTTTATTTTCCTCTTTGAAAGGCGTTTTGGCCCATACATTGCCCTTCTTCGGGGCCCATAACCCAGATCAGTAAGTTTACATAGAGGTAATGAGCATATGGTATGGACATACGGAATGCTGAGTGGAAGGAAACGGGTTTACCTAGTTGTGGGAAAGAGCTTATGTGGAAATGGAGTCTTCTGAAGTCGAATGTGCTGCATGAAAGCCCAGAAACCATAAACGCTGTTGGCTGCAGATCTGAATGTAGAAGAGCGAAATTCCATTACAACTCAGCATACACTTGTTGTAGTTCACCGTTCTGAATGGTATTTTGTGGTTGCAGCTTTTGAGAAGAGCTGAGCACGCCCATCTGCTTCATTTAAAGGAGATGTGGCTGAAAGAAATGGGGGAACTGTCGTCGGGGACCTATACTGAAAATGCAAATTGTATGGCTGTCATGTCATGCTGGTCCTCTGGCATCAATGTTTGAGTTGCTGACCCAGAATAAGCACCTAGATGAGTTTGAGAGAGTGGAGTTCAGAGAAGCATACAGTCTGTCTAGTTCAGTAATATTTAAAGTGTATCTAAACTTCCATGTCCCCATTGGGCAAGATTTCTTTTCACTTCCTGTCAAGAAAAGAAGTGATGGGAAATCTCTCCAACGAGAGGAAAGGTTTCCTGTCCCGGTAACGGCTGCGCTCCCTGATTCTTGCAGAGATGTATGGGTATAATTGTAGCATTTTCATGCTGGTATATACTTTAAATGTGCTGAATGGAACACAGTACAGTTGTCCCTTGGAGCTCCTAAATATACCTCAACCTCCAAGTGTCTGCACATGAATCTCAGGTGGGCTGCCCCTATACCCCTGAATACAGGGACATTCCGACATGTGCCTAACTTTTCATTATTCAACAGTATTTTACTGTTGTCTCTGCCCTGATTGGACAGATGTCACATTACTTCATGTCCCTCTGTCCACCTGTCAAGGGAAGTGACTAGAAACCTTCCTAATGGAGTGGCTGACCGAATTGAAAACCTGACAGGATTCCTAACCTTGCCCCACTCTATGCACAAAACATTCTGAAGTCAGGCTTTAAAGTAGGGGTAGCCAAACTCCGGCCCTCCAGCTGTGGTGGAACTACAAATCCCATGAGGCATTGCAAGATTTTCACAGCCGCAGATATGACTCCCGGAGAGAGGTGCATCATGGGATTTGTAGTTTCACCACAGCTGGAGGGCTGGAGCTTGGCTACCCCTGCTTTATAGCATCTCTCTCACTCTGATCCAGAAGAATCGCTTGCTAAAGGCTATGCAGAAACCAACACTAATGGGAGTGGAGATCTCCTGCATCCTCTGCATTGCTCAATGGTTCCTCCCGTCAACCCCCGCATCACTTCAGGACACTGGAGGAGGCAGGAAATTGACACTCTTGAAAGTTGGGGTCTCTGCATAGCCTACAGCCAGTGGCACCTCTTGATACTACAGTAGCAAGAGAGGTATTTACACATTATATTTAGCAACAACATTGGAGTTCATTTACATCTGAGTGGTGAAAATTGCAGGCCAAAAAAAAAGCACATACAGTGAACCCAAATTGCTGCATGGAGTTTGAGAGCATGCCGCCAAAGCTCTCCACTTCTAACTGCATAGTTTTATTCTGGACAGTTTATTAAAACAGCCCAGTATTCATGGGTGTGCTGTAACTCTCCAAATTAAAGAAGTGAAGAATCACAAGGAATAACCAGACCAATACAGTCCAGTGCTTCATCTTCTGCATGGTGTAGGATCGGAGTATAAATTCCAGGAGCCAAGCAGAAACCACAGCTGAGCCTGTATCTCATATTGGTCATGCCGGTGTCACAGCAGTAGAGACATTTCACTACCTGTGTGACTAATAAAGATGTGCGCCAATGTATCGAGGAGGACTGCTGGCCATTAACAATCACAGATAAGTAGTTTTTATGGCCAAAAATAAAAATCCCAAACAATGGCAGGAAGATCTCACTGCTGAAGTCCCCAACAGATGTAGATACGCAGTAAGTGACCGACCTTGATGCTTAAATTAACCTGTGCCTTTCCAATGCAGCACAAAGCAACAGGTTCACTTTAATGTTTCCCTGTTCAAATAGCAAAGGAAGACAGTCCTGTGTAAACTCAGAGTCTCTCGCTGGAGAGAGCTTCCGCATGGCTGAGGACTCCCCAAGTGGCCCTTTGTCAGAGCTCTTAGCCAATCACCAAGCACCAGTGCTGTCACATGCTTCTCTATACTTCTAATACATTCTTTGTTTCTGGCAGCTGAACTGAACAATGTATGCGCTGCTGGAAAGTGGAGCTTTGCTTTAAAGGACACCTGTGGAGATAGATGTATGAAGGCCTGACCGTGGCTACAGTACATTGAGCTACTACAGTAGAAAAAGCATTCAGCATGGAAAATCAGAGGAAGTTAGATTTCCTGATCTGCATGCTTGTTCCAGATCAGTGGCTCAATACGCCATTGATGCTACTAAAGCCATTGGATCCACTAGGCAAGCATCATTTCTAGAAGGAGAGGTCAGCAATGGAAGCTTCCATATTTAATTCACTATGGGTTTACTTCTGAACAGTAACATACCTTTTGGGCGGATTGATGTATCTGTCCATCCATCCAACCTTCCAGTTTTATTAAAGCATAAGCATATCTCTTTAGCAGGAAGCCAACTATTTTAGAAATGCTGATTAAACGGTACTGTACAGAGGGTATTCCTATGAGTCAAGATATAACTGAGATATCATGTTAATCACAGATTGAATTTGCTGCAGTAATATTGTGCATTTAGCTCCCAGCTGTTCTCACATGGTATAAAAACCAAACTCACACTCCATTTAATATTGTGAACGAGGTCATTGGTCACTTCAATTGATATGTGCAGTGCTTATAGATAGAGCAGCCCCAAAACTTCAAACCGTTAGAAAACATTGGATATAAATGGGCTTCTTCCATATTTTTTTATACTTATTTATATACTGTATATTGACAGGAGAGAATGACATTACCATCCACACTTTTTGCTGAATTCAACAAATACATCAGATTGTATATCATTAAAGGAGAACTATGGGGTCAGGGCTTTTCCTCACAGTTCTCCTAAGGGTCACGGGAGGACTGTCACTCCCAGGAGTCGGGAGTGACAGTCACGGCTCTCTGCAGGGACAGGATGGAGAAGTGAGCGACGGTATGTGTTCTCACTTCCCGATCTACTGAGCCGACCTGTGACAGTTTCATTGTCACACTTCGGCTCGAACTATGAGAATGAGTGATTTTCACTCCCCTCATACTTCTCCTTTAAGGACTAATTTATCAACAATACGATATATACTTAACGTGTCATATTCTAAGCTTATTATGCACAGTGACAAGATCTTCCATATTAAATCTGTAATCTTCCTAGCTTTAGCATTCTTAAACTAATAAACAGAAAACAATGACCGTCTTATTTGTATTTATCTCTTCTTCTGGACTGGCTGTATTGCATAAATATGGACCTGGTGTGCTGGAGCT